ATATTTTGGCTTTCAAGATGCTTCATGACTGTGCTTATACGATTATGTGTTCCAACAGTTTGCAGACCACGCTGGTGAGAGATATCGGACGCTAGTTGGCAGGGTCAGAATGCTCCCTTTTCTTGTAGATTGGAGTGACATGCGCTGTTCTCCAGTCTGCTGGAACATTTCCTGTGCACAGCGACGATTGGAAGAGGATGGTCAGCGCAGGAGCGATTTCTTTGGGTAATTCTTTGAGCACTCGTGGTTTGATGTTGTCGGGACCACATGCTTTGTGGGGGTTAATGGTTATGAGAAGGGCAAGCACACCCTGCTCTATTAGATGTATATCTTCCATGACAGGGTAGGCTCTGTTCATCATTTTGGTCTTCAGATGGAATTCAGCCTCCGAGTACTCTTTACCGTCGCCAAAGACCGACTGGAACTGCTGATTGAGTACGTCAGCTTGTGTTTTTGGGTCAGATGTCCAATGGCCATCTCCTCTCAGGGGGGAAACTCCAGCGTTTGAGGACTTTTGGTGCTTGACATAGCTCCAGAAGCGCTTGTTTTTGACACCTTTGGTCGGCGTGTCTTCCTCTGAGAAGATGCCGTTCAGGTGGTTCCAATAAGATCTGCGCAATAACCGTTGGGTGGCTTGACATGTAAATAGTTTTAAATATACATTTGTTTTGTTTTATTTAATTAATGTATGTTAATTAATTTTTTTAAGTTCATCATTATGTTTGTTAAATTATATGTACAGGGTGGTGAGCAAGTCCTAGGCTGGGGTACCACGCTATATAAAACCACTTATAATACTAATAATAATAATAGTTGTGATCTCAAATTATTATGATTGTGATCTCAAAAATTGACCGGGAGCTCAGTGACGGCCGTGATCTCAAAAGCACCCAATTAAAAATATATATCCCTTCAAATTGATTGCACGAGTGGTCCAGATGATTTGCACTCTTATTTCACAAAATACAAAAATTAATCAAATAATGAATAGAGCTTATTTGTATTGAAATCTTTCGACAACACCTTCAACTTACTTTGAATTATCATGGGAATTATTATTTTTCGTGCAGTTCTCTGCACTTGTCATTAATATATTTCAAAAATGTGTACGCTTCAAAACATGTTGCACTATTAAATTTTCGGAGCAGTTGCTTGAAATGACGCTGTTGGATTGTGTACACAAAAATAACTACAGCTTTGCAGATGGATCTTAAAAATAGAGGCCTGTATCAAGACACTGCATTTGTTCCATTCCGCCTTAGGTCCCGCCTTCCGTACCTTCACATGCTGCAAAAATTAGACACCAGTAAATGTCAGACGCAGAAGAAGGTCAAGGTCATGATGAGCAAATAGCATGACTCAAAATCAGAATGGGTCTAGAGTAAGGTGACCAAATCATGATTTGGAAAAAACGGGACGCTTTCAATGACTGTTGGTTTTTTGTTGTTTTTTGTTGTTATATTTTTTTTTTTTTGGGGGGGGGGGGGATACCCTCCAGTCAAAGAGGGGTCCGGGGGCCTCGACTGGGAACTGTTTATTGAAATGTGCTCATTTTAACTATGAAATCTAACCTAGACATCTATTTTTTTTTTTTTTTTTTTTTTTTTTTTGGGGGGGGGGGGATACCCTCCAGTCAAAGAGGGGTCCGGGGGCCTCGACTGGGAACTGTTTATTGAAATGTGCTCATTTTAACTATGAAATCTAACCTAGACATCTATTGGGGCTCTCAGTCTTTTCCTATGTTTCACTGATGTGATGTGTTGTTTTATGTCTGAACGTCCACCATGACCAATACTAAAAACATTATTGCAAACTGTGCACTCGGCTTCACTTTCATAGCGTCCCTTTTTAATATAGTTCCACTCTTTGGAATACTCCTCCATAAACTTACATTGACGCTTGGGCATAATCATTTTCTACTTGAGAAGATAATATAACATTAAAGAATAAAGTTCAACACCCAAAACAATCACCTGTCACTCTGACTCGAACAGGCCGGCAGGGATCACACATAAGACTAACACATTACACGTACAGGGTCGTTGAATCAAAATTGTTTTCTGCACAGTTATATCCCCACCCCCTGCTGCTTCAAGTCTCGTGTCTTTCGCTATACATTTACATATAAGATCTATGGCAGGGACACTGTGGTGGAGAGGGAACGATGCAGCCATCACGCGAGCCCACATCACTACTTGCACTGGCTACACAGCTAGCCAAAATATTATTTGAAGCTATAGAATAAATGTGGAAGTTTTAGTGATTAGAAAATGTGTTTGGTTAAAAAAAAATGGGACATTTGGGCGTCCCGAGAGACTTTTTCGGGACAACGGGTACGATCGTGAAAAAACGGGACAATCCCGTTTTTACGGGACTTTGGTCACCCTAGTCTACAGAAAAGTACGCGGTTCGTCGGAAAACGCCACAGGCCAGGGCATTTCCGGACCTTTTGGGGACGCTGGGACGATTGATGCAATAATAGGAACTGTCCTGGGTAAAGAGGGACGTCTGGTAACCGTAATTGTACCCCTCTGAGGTCATTTTGCGCCCCTCTGAGGTCATTATTGCGCCCCCACCCCGAGGCATGCGCTCTAAGCACTAACCCATTCTTTACAACTATATGTAATATTTGGATAAATTTTACCGAGAGTGTCCACATTTTCCTGATTATTACAAAAAAAATCAGTTAGTTTCTTAATGACTCATGTCTAGCGTTTGAATAAGCCCTTAAATGGTTTGGTGTAGTTTTCGATGGATGAAATCAAAACGCCTGGGATCTTGTTTGGAGAGTAAGCGGGTTTCCTGTCAGGACATTTCCCGCTCCATGCATCTGACGATCACACGATGAAGATGGCGGACGTCGGCATGTGGGTTTCGTCTTCGGAAAAGAAAGGTACTTCTTTTGGTTCCTACTGTGGCGAAAGGCAGTTCCCCTGGCGTTCGGTACGAATAAAATTCGATAAGCGGGTGGCCCCGGTGCCCGGTTCTTCTTCAATATCTTGAAGGCCCACGATCAATGCAGTGATAATCCTGGCACCAATTTAGATCGATTAGTCCCTCAAAGTTCTCGGAGACGTCAGAATGGAACAAGGTGTTGTAGATGAACGAGTTCTTTTCCGTTTCTCCGTGCCCATTAAGCACATGCGATATTATTTTTTTTTAATGCGTGTTTTTTTAGAGAGTTTGCGCACGTGTCTTGGAGTTGAAGTTTTCGACTGCGACTGACCAACTAGAAATTGTTGGAGATGGCCAAGATGTGGCGGCTGAAGCCTTAAATAGGATACGATACGCATGCCCTGTCTGGTGGATAACTTCCGGTAAACGTGTACGAAGAGCGTCATTGCTGCACGGGGGCCCTATGAGCCAGGCTATACACGCGGCCACAGGAACAGGGGGGGGGGGTACCTCCAGTCTCAAGCGGCGCACTAACTGTTGCAAAGACAATGCTGGGGTCTGCGTCTGGAGACGCTATTCTTCGTGAGTCGTCCTTCAGGGGGGAAAACTAAGTAAGCCCCATGCATTTCAAACTTCTAAGTTTCCAATTGGAGATGGCCAAGATGTGGCGGCTGAAGCCTTAAATAGGATACGATACGCATGCCCTGGCTGGTGGATAACTTCCGGTAAACGTGTACGAAGAGCGTCATTGCTGCACGGGGGCCCTATGAGCCAGGCTATACACGCGGCCACAGGAACAGGGGGGGGGGTACCTCCAGTCTCAAGCGGCGCACTAACTGTTGCAAAGACAATGCTGGGGTCTGCGTCTGGAGACGCTATTCTTCGTGAGTCGTCCTTCAGGAGGGAAAACTCAGTAAGCCCCATGCAGTTCAAACTTCTAATGTTCCAAGGCAAGCACCGAGTCAATGATACAGCTTGGCCCCAGTGATAAGAATTTGTCCAAATTTTCATTACGTCAATACCATACTGCATACGGGACACCATCTCAATATTTTTATTCTGGGTTTGACTCCCATATATTTTAACTATGGGCTTGTATCTTCAAGTCAGCGGAGGTTGGCCAAATTGCCATCCATTCACCTCAGACATAACTACTTAAACTAAAGCATCATCATGGAATAATTCGAGTACCCGGTATAGGCAATACATTTTTTTTTTTAAAAAGGAAAATATAAAATTGTTTTAAATGTAATGAAAAACTACTCAATTTTTTTACCAAGAGTAATGAGTAATTTTTTGTTCATTATTGTATAATACTTATTATTTCAAATTTTACTGCAATGTAAAACATGAGGTGGGGAGGGGGAATCAATCATCATGATATAAATAGATATATTTTATTTTTGCTATCTCCCTATCATCTTATTAATAATTTTCCCTTCAAAATTTTTTTAAAAATGTTTTTTTAAATATAGTTTTTAAACTGGAATGTGCAGGTTTTTTTTCTCATTTACCAGAAACCCTAGGAATTTATGTTAAATGTTTACAATAATTTAATTTTAGCATGTTGCAAAAAAAAAAAATTGTTAAACAATGCACTGACTCGGCTAATGATGAGTACAACCCCCATCTTTAAGGCCACTCAATGCTTAGTTATTGTGCAGGGAACGAACATTGTGTACAAGCAAAGCATGTAATAAATATAGGATGATTTTCCCCACATGTGTTTTACTCACTCGGTCTCGATTGGTGACTCGAGTAAGGTGAGAGAGGCAGTTACATCCTAGACTAGCCATGATGTAGTGGACCGTATTTATTATGAAATATTGCTCATACGGCTTTTGCAATAAAAACTTTTTCGTTCCCATTGAATAGGTGAAGAGAAGTAAACATCAAGAAAAGAAGCGTTAGCCACCCCCCCCCCCTAAAAGCGTGAGGTCCTGGGCACTGTCCAGCATACTCATTCCTTAAGACGGCACTGGCATAAGCGAATTTAAGCCTTAGGTGAGATATGTTAGATTATTTCGGAAATAGATAGGGGCTCTTCTTATCTATCGGTAAAGAGATTAAACATGGTCGTCGTAACCAATGTAAGCAATCCAAATAATTTTAGAAGTGGCCTTCATTAAAGAGATGTTTTATAGTTTCAAGTTAAAATGCAGACAGAAAAGTAATATTATATGGCATCTTTGCGAAAAATTAAAAAGAAATTGAATGTGGAAAGTTCACTGTACTGTAATCTACTCACTGACTCACTTTCACTGAGACTCAAATTGATGAAGTCACAATCATCACCGAATCGAGTCTGACTGAGACTACAGACTACAGGTACTATCAACATGTTATTTGTTGTTACTGTAACTGTATGTGCATGTAAAATTCTATATCAAAATTTATCACTGAAATTTAAAAGATAAACAGATTATTTAATCAAACTCATACTTAGCACTCAAACTTGAGTTGAGTCAAGTCTAAATTCTAAAAATAAATCAGTGCCCTGCAACCTTTTTTCTCATAGTCCGCAGGGCTCACTTGAGCCCTTATCAGAACTCTGTGGCAAAATGAACAAGTAAAAAAAGCATATGCCATACAATACTAATTTTTAATTATATATAGGGCTAAAATTAAGTACGAATGCCACGATCTCCTTTGCGTGTTTATTTAAAGTAACCATGAATTAGGGTTCAGGTTAGGTTTAGGGATATATTTAGGGTTCAGGTTAGGTTTAGGGATACATTTACTTAGATTTAGTGACAGAATTAACTGGTCTTGTCAACCAAGGTGGCGGCCATTGGAAAAAAAAGTTTAGTAAAATCAAAGTTCCCTTTCACTCTTTCAGTCATGATCATTGTTAGAAATATGATTTTCAATCATGATCACTTAACATTTTTATGAGAATAGTGAATTGTATCCTGAATAGTCGAAAACATTGTTCATATATATGTTAAAACAAAACAAAATGCAGCAACAAGAAAAACAACAAACAAGCCCAGAAATGCAATAATTTTTTTTATTTCCAGCAAGAGGATTGAATAAGAAGACAGCAAGATATTTTTCATATGATGGCTCCTAATAATCATTTTGCCACTCTTGGTCTCAGCATAGGAGCTGATGAAAACCAAATTAAAAAAGCTTATAGAACTCTTGCTAAAAAATGGCATCCTGACAAAAATCATGAAGCAGGTGCTAAAGAAAAATTCCAAGAAATAGCAGCCTCATATGAGTATTTGTCGAGCAAAGACCGACGTGAAATGCTGGAGAGAGAATTACGGAAACCAGCTGCTCCAGCCCCGCCAAAAGCTCCACAGTCCACCCCACAAACATCATCAACAAACTTCTCCTCAACTAAAAAGACTAAGAAACCAAATGAAGCATCTTGGTCTGAGACGTTTACAAAAAACTATCAAAGTCAGCAAGCAAAAGCCAAGAGTCAGGCTCCTGGTTCAAGCACATTTAACTTCAAATCTTCTGAACGTCCATCAAGTTTTAGTTTCAAGTTTTCGCATTCACATTTTGAATCAGAGAAGCCACCAGCCAGCCCATCTTTCTCTGGGGATGACATTTTTGATGAGTTGTTTAGAGATTTCTTTGACATCGGATTTGGAGGTAATGTTGACAAAGTTTGGTTTCAGTGGGAACTTTGAACAAAATTTTTAACTTCAGATTCAGAAACAATCTACTTATTTTAAAAACTGTAAATATTAATGTTTTTTTACATTTTATTTCAATTTTTCTGATTAGAAATATGGTTTAGGTGTCCATGTATGGAAGGGAAGGCATGCTTTAAAATTAATATTAGATTTATGACCCGAGTTCGACAGATGACTGATTTACACATTTTTAAAATAGTAATTTGAAATATTTTGTTTTGCATACAAAGAAACTACCAAAAATTGTTTGAAAATCATCTGAATTCTCTTATTCTTAAGCCTGTGTGTATTTGATGAAAACAAATCTGCTGACATGCTTGTGCTTTTTGTTTTTGTTTCTTTCTTTTCTTATAAGTCCATTAAATGAATCAGATTTTTTATAAAGTTTTTGTCTAAAAAGATTATTATAATTTTTTTTCGCAATTCATATCTCTAGCATCAAGTCGTTTGTTCAGTGGCTTAGCTGTAGGACCTAAGGTATCTCCAAAGCTTAAAAAGCCTAAACCAAGGAATGTTGCTCCCGAGAGAGGTACACCCACAGGGTTGGATGAAGAATACTTATTTACACCACGTTACAAAGATAATGGTAAACATAAGTTATATAATTTGGAGCTGTAGAAGAAAGTCTAATTACAAACATATAATGATAATTGTTTTTGTTTTTCTCTGATTTAGTGTAGGAATGAACTTTAAAATTGACCTATTTATTTTTGCAAAAGATTCCAATCTCCAAAGACTGACATAAGTAATGGAATAATGCTTTGTTTGATATGAACATTCACATCATTAACTATTAATTTTTATATTGTATTCTAGTTCATTTATAGTGGAAAGACATATCAATTCAGTGTTATTTTTTTATTTGAAAACATGGGTTGCACTTAACATGTATTTATTTTAATAAATATGTCTGTACGCTATAGTTTGGTCTTGTGCTTAAAAAACGGCAACAGATGGTGTCAACATATTCGTTCATATTACATTATGATCAATGTTCCCTTTAAGCTGCGTGGCCGTGCAGCTTTCTCACAGATGCTGCGCAGCAGTTTTGGGTATCCACGCAGCGAATTTCCATTTAAGTGTGTGTTTGTGTTTGTGGGCTGTAAAATTTTGCACAAAAAAAAATTGATGCTGTAAAACTTTGCACACAACTGTATGATTTTGCACATGAACCAGGAAACCTTAGAGGGAACATTGATTATGATTATTACAGTTTAAAAAAAAAGTAATATAGAATTTAAAAAATAAAAAATGAAAAGTCTTCTTGTATAGACATACACTGTTAATAATGCAGAAATAAGATAAAATTATAAACAGCTATGTCAAAACCACAGCAACATGAAAAGACTATTATAGATTCCATAATTATCTCAAGTTAAGCCTTAGTTGGTTGGTCTGTTGGGTTGAGTTTCCCTTCTCTATTGTTGATGTGTTGTTTTTTCAGATGGAGATGGAGAGAAACTGTCATGCCCTTGGTGTAATCAATTATTTACACGCGGGAAGTTGGTAAGTTAAAAATATAATAAATTGAATTACCACAAAAAAGAATTTACTAAAGGATTTGGGATTGATTATTTAAAAAACAAAACAACATTTTAAAACATTTATTAATTGGCAATGAATTACAATTTTTTACTTACTCGAATAAGTACCAATCTCCTCAAATATCAATACCATTTTTTTAATAAAAAAAAGCTTCCTTAAAAATATTTAAAAAATTTAGTCCAGCAAGAGCATTAAGATTAAAATTATTATATTTTTTGTTGTCTAAAAATTGTGATTTTCTTAAAAAGCATGAAAATTAATTTAAAAAAGCAGACATATTTGTTTCATTGACATTTTTAAAATGAATTTCTTAAAATAAGCCATAAAGAGCTGATATTATGATTTGAAATAAAGATATAATTTAGGGAAATGATTTTGTAAAAATAGAAGTGCTCCAATCACCTTGACATTACATTAATAGGCACAACATGAAGAAAAATGTGGCAAGTTTGGGCTTAGCGGTGATGAGGACGATGATGATGATTATGATGATGAATCTGATGAAGATATGAGCTTTTTTACCACATTAAGTCGGCCAGAGTATGCCTACAAGCCTGTCTGGCAGCAGAAGCAAGAAGAGCTTAGGGAAAAGATCAGAAGAGACAAAATGCGTTATCGGGAACAAACAGCATCTCATGAAGCTAAGGACTCAAGTAAAGGGATAATTAATTAATAGACATTTTTAAAAATCTCAAAAACTTTGAGACAAAAATTTTTATAATAAATTTGTGTCTTTCTGAGTTTTAAATAAACAACCCCTGAACAAATTTTATGAATCCTTTATAAAATATAATATTGAGCAATGGGGAATGGGGCTGAAAGTTTGACAAAACATGCATACAAGTAACTCAACTTATAAGAATCCCAATTAGCGTGCCCCCCCCCCCCAGGGCTCGAAACGCACATGTTTACATGCCCCTGAACTATTTTAATATTCTAATGACCCACCCGCTTTTACACTGAAGATTTATTTCACCAACTATTTCAGGAAAACAAAAGAAAACATTATGCACTAAAGGCACTTGCGATATTTTTTTAAAAAGAATCTCATTTTGAGCAGTTATCTGGAATTTTATTTTTTGAAATAATATTTCTTCATCTTTCCATTGAAAAACAGATTTTTGGGGTTTGGGGCTGAAAATTTGAAAGAATGTGTTGTCATCGGCAACAAGTCTATGTGCTAAATTTCAGCTCTATAGGTTGACAGGAAGTGAGTCATTTAGCCATCCAAATATTTTTGCCAGCAACGAACAAAAGTAAAGTTTATAAAGGATTTAAAAAATGATTCATGGACTGAAATCAATATTTATTCTTTGTCTTAATAAATTATTTTGAAACATGATTTTAAATGGGTTGCATGGGATTTCCAAAACAGGATTATGAAGTAAAATATAAGAATTGATTGTTCTTATGAGAGAGAAATTTTCACTAATTTAATTAATTGAATGTCTGATATAAAACATAATTTTTTATTGCTGTTATTTCTGCTCTCTTTAGGTCTAATTAAATGTCCGTACTGTGATCGTCAGTTTAACCCTACAACTGCTGGAACACATATCCCATGGTGCAAGGAATATGTAAAAAAGTATGGCATCCCCATGAACTTTAGATCTTCAAAACAAGGAGATTATCATGAATCAAACGATGAGAATTTTGATTATAGTACAAACTTGAAGAAAGATACATTTAGTGGAACAGGCAGAGAAAGAGCTACAGAGGTAAGATCATAAAATAATGGTTGTGATACAGATAGAATAATATTATTGTGTGAAGAATTTCTGCCATAGGGCATGTATCCGTGCAAAAAATTGTTGTAAGCCTCAAAAGCTTTTCAAAATCTTTTTTAACCTCTGTTCACAATTTTTTTTTCTCAGTATGCCAAGAACATTAAGAAACCCAGCACTTCAAGAAAAGGTAAATCTTATGTTAACAAAATAACAGTTTTAACGTTTTGGACGAACGCATGTACAGCTATTCATATATGAGACATTTATAATACTTTTTTTTTTAAAAACTAAATAGTTTGGTATATAAATAGATTGTATTAGTATATATCAAGAATCAATTTAAAGATGATAACAAAACTCATAAAAAAATTAAGATTTTTTATAGTCATAAAATAATGTAAAAATGACAATGTGTACATAGGTTTCATTTTGTGTGATTAATTAATGACCTCGGAAATCTCTGACATGACTTATGTTATCTGTCAAATGCTTATTTAGTTTTAAAACAATTTCTCCTTTAAACAATTTTGTTCTTAGACACGCTTGAGAATGAAAAAACCGGAAATGATAAAAAATTTCCATACACCAGGTAAGAATCACTTTATCGTGCAGTTCATAAAAGACAAATAAATGCTTTAGTTATTGTTCAAACAATTTCTTTTTATCAATCATATGACAATTAATTGTTCAAAAATTAATTTCATGAAATCTTTATTATTTTTTTTTTGTATTGTTTTAGATTTGTAAATTAGGAACTACACAATATTTTATTTAGTTTTTTGGTGAATCAAAAATAAAGTTTTACCACAACCGTATTCTATAATCATTGCCTCTTCAAGACCAAGAATGCCAAGTGCTTTTGGTGTAGCTGGATCTAAATTTGCATCAGATCCATCAGGAAGAGATTTTGGAGACATGGGCTACACACCATCGCCATCTGACGGTCCAGATAAGACTAGGACTACAATGAGGCGGTCATCAGTGCCTGGGAATTTTTCAAACTCCAAAACCACATCAGGTGGTAAAAAACCAGGTTCTTACAGAAGTGACTTTAAACAGAAACATTCCTAGCGTTTTATTTTTTTGCATTTATTTTTGTCTAAATGTGCAGGGAGATTTATGCCAATATACATTGTACAATGTCAATTTTTTTGTGATAGCAACCTTTGGAAGTCTATTCAAGTTTTTTAATGTTACTTTTAACTTTATAAGTTTTTTAACTTCTTTTACTCTGGTTAGTACACAGTCTTGAAACTTGATGTGCGTTATGATTTGTACCATTAGTTGGTAGTTGTAAACTTTATCACTTAAAATTTAGTAACATAGTAGTTATACTCTTTGTCACTTATCTAAAAGTGATATACATTTAAGAAATTAGCCAAATATGGTAATTATTTTACAAAAGCGGTCTACGGTTTATGAAAAAGTTTTTAAATCCTAAGGTAACAGGGAAGCTTTAGAATGGGCACAAAAAAAAAAAAAGAACAACACCAAATTAAACAAAATCAGTGTATAGTAGAAATGGACAATCAAAGCTTTAATAAATCCCACTTGTATATTTTATTTATCGTTGACAAGCAAAGTGATGTTAGCCCATGAAAATTTGAACAGAAAATAAATTTCATTAGTTCACTAATAATTGAAATTTTCTGTGATATTTTACATTCAATTTTATAAAAATTATTCTGACACTAAGAAAATTATAATTAGCAGCACTAAATACTTGTGCAGAAGTGCCAGACTCAAATATTCCTATAATTAAAGGCCTAAATATGCAGCAATGCTAGCCAAATTCTGCTGGGGCTGTTAGAGACTCTGAATTAGAATCTTAAACAAGTCACAATTATATTACATACCTTAAATAGAAAAATGAAGAAGGTATGTTCTCATTGTTATAATTTATAATTATATATCAAAGTCTATACAATTATTTAACATCTTAATACATATTTTTTTTTTAGATTATGTTTGTACTATATAAGGAGGGAATATATTTAAAAACAAAATTTAAAAAATATGGAATGTTCAAGCAGATAGAGAATATTTTTATACTAAATAAATTCAATAAAATGTTCAACAATAATCAACATATGAAATGAAAAGATATTTCTTTTACCCTGGTCAGATATTTCTTTTACCTGGTCAGATATTTCTTTTACCTGGTCAGATATTTCTTTTACCTGGTCAGATTTTGTACATTTAACTTGTTTATTTTATAATCTTTGTCTTTCATATCAGGGATTTGTGTACACTGGTGAACCCTTGTATATAATATTTGGAACAAAAATTAACTCTAATATGTAAATGTATTACATACATTTTTTCTTCTTTCTATTATTACACTATAAAATAAAGTTATTTTACTATAAGAACATTTATTATATTATTTTTTGTGCAAATGTTATGACAATTAGACCACAATGAAATTCTAATTGAACTAATTACTTGATTTACTCAAATGAAAGATTTCAAGAGACAAAGCTTTGGGTTTTGAAGATTTATTTATAAAAACTGCAAAGATACAGTAAAAAATATGTATGTAGTGTAAGGCTGAATCACAGCAATGATGTGGAATATTATGGTGAAATATGGCACACATAATGTACACATTAAATTAACACTATTAAACTTGTACATTAAAATTGAAAAGTATTTCATTCATTCTGCTTTTGTCACTTAAGTTTTTACTTTACAAGATGTGTCATTGGTAGAGATATTATGGTGAAATTTAAGTGATTTAATCATTTTTAATAGAAAGGCTTTTTTTAAAACTTTTCAAAATTCTAGGATTATGACCAAAAACAACAACTGTTTGACTAGAGATCTGATCTACATTTTTGGCCTTACAAACTGTTCTTTATTTTATGAGTAGCAATAATGTTATCTACCTGAAACAATACCTTTTTCACAAAGTGATATAACGTATACAAAATTGTATGGTAAAATATATATCAAATAACAATGCTAACAAATAATCTCTATGATTACAGATTAAAAGCAGCACTATTTTTTTAAAACATCAACTTCATACCTACTTTACCTTTCTCTTCCATTTCTAACACTGAAAGACTAAACACACCTAATTCTGCTTTGAGTTTTTTAATAAGTAAAAATCATGTTAGTAAACATAATTTATGAAGTCTCTCAAGTTATTAATAAACATCCTTTTATAATTCTTAGCAGACAAATACAGTTATAAATTTCTATTGAAAAACTGTAGCTAACTAATATTGCTGATAAAATATATTTGGTTTTACATTTACCAACCAGTTCTTAGAAAGAAATTTGTATTACCTGGAATTTTGAAATGAACGTGACGGGAAAGTCCTGTAAAGTAATAACTACAAAGTTATTTCAATTTTTTTAAAACCAATTTTAAAAAAAAAATAAAGCCAATTAATAATTGTCAGAATTATGATTTCCTACCAACAAAGAAAGTCAGTTTGATAACTGTAGTTATAAAAAATATCATTGAATAAGACAGTTAGCACGTTAGAAAGTTTATACAAAACATATCTTCAACATATTCACAACTTTCAGGAAGAAGGCTTTAATCTTCAGACATGTCAAGCTTTTGAACTTTCATTGAAACATTTATGTAGAAATAAATTTAAAGGTAAAGTTTATTGGGATAGAAAAGTGGGCATGCTGAACAATGAACAAGAAACACATGAGAGGTCATAGGTCTTTTCCGTTTCAGCTTTCATTTTTATTTTACACATTTTTATCAGCCATCTTTGCTTTTAGTTTGTAGTGAATATGTTGAACACAATGGCTTTTCTACACCCTTTGACAATTAGTTTATTCTAAAAGTTTCAGAATTTCCTGTCGAGAATGTAAAAAAAACAACAACAAAATATCATTAACTTTTACATTAAATGATTCATCAGTAAAGCACCTTTTATAATCTATTAAGTCAAAACATCCAACTAGTGTTAATACCATTTTTTCAGCAAATCTGTTGTTGGTTTTAGAAATGAGATCTGAAACCTGTTTTTGGTTGTTACAATCAGGTCTTGAATCACGCAGCAACCGCGTTCCTGTACTTTTTTTGTGCTAAGAAATAATAGCAAATTTATTTTGGGAGTGGGCAGGGCAGTTTCTTGAGTGATTTCTCACACCTTTTCCCCCTGTTAAAAATGCCTTCCAAACTGTTCCTCACAGGCATGTCTGATCGACATAATGTTTTATAAGATCGTATGATCCATGTACGTTAACAGAGGGGACAGAGAGGGCTGTTCACTCCAAGCAAGAGGCATTGCTTTTGGGGAGGCAGGGCTGGGGTGGAATTTTTGGTTCAATTTATATATTTTAAATTGCTTATTTTTCTCTTTATCTTTCCTCTGAACATTATAGTTTTCATTTATCAACAACCGGTTTTGGTATCAAAACAAAATATTAAAAAAAAAAACACTTTCCATTGAACTATTCCTTTTCAAAAATATTTTTTACAAATATGCCTGTAATGACATTGAAGCAATTATAAAATTCAAGAATCTCTTTTTTTGGAGACACTGATAGTTCTAAGCCCCTCCCCTACAACATCCATCTCGAGTGATTGGGTATTACCGGTGGAGTCACTCTTTGACATGTCATGCTTCTGTCCATCAGGGGAGGGCACTCCGTGTAATTTTGTTTTGAGAAGAGCTCGAATTTGACTGCTGCATAGCATGTGACAAGTAAAAATAATCATGCCCTGAAAATTTAAAAAAGATGTTTTCAAAATTCAAACATGTATCAAATTATCTTAAAAAGTGGAAAGAAATAATTATTTTATGTACCTGGATAAATATACTTATGAAATATATAAAACTTGAAATAATTGAGTTGCATATTTTTTTTAAAGAACACATTTTATTTAAAGTTTTAAATTAGAAATATGGCATAAAGTTGATCATTTGTTTCTGATTCAAGGGATGGGTTAAACAATAATTGGATAAAATTTAAGATAAGATTATTTTTAATAAAAGGAACAAATGAATAGCTGTGTTAAAGAGTTAGCCACTTATAATTAAAATAGTTGTAAAATAGTTAAGCATTCCTACAAACCTGAGATGCATTCAGCAAAACAAACAAATATTGGAATCCAACATAATGCCCAGGGATTAGACCCAACAACCAGAAGGCATTAGTCACAGGCAGCTGTGTAATGATTGTGGACAGGAGATTTCTGGAAATTGAAATGGTTACGATATTTAAAGTAGAGCTGAGATAGGGCTTACATGTATGACAATAACATGACTTTAAATACATTTTAACTTATAATACTTTATAAGGAAATCATTGTTCTATATTTCTTTGATATAATTTTTAAAATCATAAATAGGCATAGAAAATTTGTTGAACACACGTTGTCAATTTTGATTGAAACTGGCATGTGGAGGAAAAAATATATTTTTTTTTACATATTTCTATAAGAATGAGGCATGAGGTCACGCCATAGTTGTATGTTGTAGAGACTTCATTAGCATGGACATACATTGCACAAATAGCGAAATGTTCTATGGAACATTTTTAAAAACATAGAGTCTTTTATTAAAATTATATAATTACTTTAAGAATTAATATTTTAACCAATAACGCAGCTAACTTTTCCATTTCGCAATGATGAATGCAGAGCCACCAATTACTTCCCTTGTTTCCCGTAGTTACTTCCCATGCAGCAAAGACTTAACAGTTAAAGGTCAGCTGTCACAAAACAGTTAATCAGCTTTTCACAGGAATTACTCGTTATTCCTCCTCTCTTCCAATCAAATCCTTAGGCCCTCTGCTACTGACTATGTCAGATTGATTCTGGATTGTGCAATGTTCATAAAAAATTTATGATGAGATGGATTTAGGATTTTCAAATTGCAATTATTTGCAAGGAACATTCTTCACTCCGGCATCACAGGACAGGCACATTTGCACGACTAGTCTCAAACATAGAGGAACTTGTGCAAAATTTTGCCTGTTAAATTTATAATATTTACATAATAGAGCCATAATTTAATTTTTTTTTTAAATGTAATGTAACGTTCAACCCACCCACACAATTTTCCCAATAAAAAAAATAAAACCATTGTTTACAGGCAGAAACAAAATAAAGATTTAGGGCATTGGTCAGGTTCT